GCTGGAGTGCTGCCCAGGGCTAGTTCCCATGGCGACTGACGTCACTAGGCTCCCAGGCTCGGCCCCGCCCCTTTCTCCTGGGCACTTGGCCGGGAGCTGGCCGTGGTGCTGAAGCTCCTGAACAAACAGCCACCCCAGATGATAGCTCTGTGTTCCAGTGGACACTTCCTGGGCCCCGCCTTGCTCTGCCGCCCTGGGCCAGCCTCTAGCCTTCCCTTCCCTTCAGGAGCTGGTTTCCTAAGGGCCTACTATGCACGGAGGAGGATCAGGGAGAGCCTCGCGGGGAGCCCCATTCATTCGATTATTCATCAGACATTTACTAAGCCCTCGAGGGGCCTGGGCTTCACGTGAAAGGAGAGTAGAATTTCAAGGGGAAGGGACACGGAAAGGGCTTGCAAGCAGAAGGGATCGTGAGGGCAAAGGCCGAGAGGTGGTGGTGAGAGGTGCGGCCTGAGGGAGGCCGCCTCCGGACTCTGCTGCCTGCTACCCAGAGCTCATGATTGTTGGTTCAAGTTTTGGTCTCCCCTGCAGCCCAGAACCACCAGCATCTGTGGCTCCGGTGCCTCGCCCAGGGCTGGGCCACATGAGGTGCTTGGAACAGTGAGTGAGGACCAAATGGAGGGGTGTCTCCTGGGCCAGAGGCTGGCGCTTCTGTCCGGGGACCAGAGGGAGCCAGGAGTGCTCTGTGGCCAGATTTGCATTTGAGAGAGACCTCCGGCTGTGGGGGTGGGTGTGGCAGCAATGTTGGCAGCAGATGCGGCCTCCAGTTGAAGAGGGCACTGTCCCCCCTCCACCCCAGCCTTTAAAATAGAGTGAAAATCCCCGTCTGGTGCTGTGGCCCAAATGGCAGTGGGAAATAATCACTTTTCACAGGCCCCTTATCCACAGCCAAGCCCTGCGCCACTTTAATCAGCAGAGCCAGTGTGACTTGAAGATTCCGGGCTTGGGAGATCAGGAGAGGGGTTACAGAAAATTACCCTCGCCTCCTCCATGCTAATGTAATCTCTAACCAGATCTGCCTAGCTGCAGCTCAAATTGCTTTTTAGATTAACATTTAATTATTAACAGGGTCCCCTGGAAGGCCTTGGGCTTGGAACAGGGATGGGGGAGGGCTTCTCCTCCGGCTGCCTTGCTGAGAGACAGAGTGGGGGGTAGAGGTAGGGAGCACGGGGGTCAGGAAGGGAGCGGGAAAGGCGACAGCAAGAAAGGAGGAGAAGGACAGGGAGGCAGGTGGAGTGAGAGACAGGGATGGAGACAGGAGAGGAAGAGACATCTTCCTGTTCGGAGGAGGGACTGGCTGTTCACTGAGTTTCCCTGTGGCCTCCTGGGCACGGGTCCCTCCACCTTTCTGTTCCAGCCAAGGGCAGGCAGATCCTGCCCCTCGATGCCTTTTGAGGCTACATGCTGGCCTGGCTCAGGGTAGTGGGGACAGACTGAGGGCCACAGAGCCAGGATCTGACCCCAGCTGTCCCAGGCTCCCAGCCCAGTGCTTATTCACCGCCCTGGGCCTGGGCCTGGGCCTCCTGCCACCACCTCAGACCCTTCCCTGCATGTGGGCAGGTCTGTGCCCAGCCAGGGTGGAGGAGAGTGAGGCTTCAGGTACAGCAAGGGGCTGGAGGTGGGAACTGTGGAGCATTCCTGCCCCCTTTCCATGAAGGTGGTGAGGTCCAGCCCGCGTGGCTCAGTGGTTGAGCGTCGACCTGTGAACCGAGGTCACAGTTCAATTCCCGGTCAGGGCACATGCCCGGGTTGCGGGCTCAATTCGCAGTAGGGGGCGTGCAGGAGGCAGCCGATCAATGATTCTCTCTCCTCACTGATGTTTTTCTCTCTCTCTCTCTCCCTCTCCCTTCCCCCCTGAGATCAATAAAAAATATATATCTTTTTAAAGGTTGTGAAGCCCTGGGAATCGCAGGCATCTCCTTTGCATATTTTTGGGGAACGCAGAACCCTAACAGTCTATGCAGCGCTTTACACGACCTGCTGGGTTTCTCCGGCTCCTGTCTCATCCCCACTCAGGATTCTGAATCCCTCGAGGACGGACTGCATCTAGAACCTCCTTTGTGTGCCGATGGACTGAGCACCTAGTCCTGTGTCTTGCATGGAAGCCAGTGCACTGGATTGTGTGTGAAAACCAAATTGTAACACACCCGTATCCAAGCTGGGAGGCCCTCTTGCCATCCGCTGGCCCACTCCTCAGTGAGATTCGGTGAGGGAGACGGAGGCTCAGAGAGGTGCCGGGAGAGTGGTCCTCAAGGTCACTCAGCCTTCAGGACCCCGGTGTTGGCCGCAGCCTGGCAGGTGCCGCTCTGAGGCCTCGGGGTCAGCCTTCCTCTGTCAACGTCTAGTCTCACAGGATGCTGGGAAGGGCCTGGCATGACCTTCCCCTCCAGGCCACAGCCAGTCTTAGGCCTTGAGTGGAGCCACAGAGTCCATAGTGGACAGCACCTGGGCGGGGGGGTGGGGGGGGGCCAGGAAGAACAGTCCTTGACCTTCCATAGACTCACATGCTGCCGCTCCAGGGCCAGCCCAGCAGACTGCTGCCCTGTAGGATGCACCCGGGCCAGTGCCCACCTGCCGCCTCAGGGAGATACTGGAGGCCGAGGGAGAGGCCAGGACGTCCATTTTGAGTGGCTGGATTGGGAGTGGGAAGCCAGTTCTGGTTGGTTGTTCCCGTTTGCCGGACGGGACACCCGTAGATTTTCCTTCTCCCGGCTTCCTGTCTCATCCCCGCTCAAGACTCGACATCCCTCAAGAGGTTGCATCTAGAACCCCTTTGTGTGCGTGGCACAGGGCTGGCCCCCAAAGACGCTCAGGGAGTGTTTGCTGCCTGAAGGGATGGGTGAGGCGGGGCCGACGCTTCTTCATCTCAGTGTTGCTCTGCCCAGTGCAAGCCCCACAAGCTGTTCTCGGTGAACGTTGATGGGTAAGGGCCTCTTCCTCCTCTCACCTCCTTCCTCTCTGTGATTCTCGCCTCCTAGAGCAGAACCAGCGTAGTGTGGGCATTGGGGAGCGGCAGGCCTTTGCCTCTGCTCCTTCCTGCCCAGCCGACTAGCATGTGGGGGCTGCACAGGGTGAGGCTCTGGGGGACGGACACATCTCTGCCACCCAGAAGCTGTGGGCCTTGTGCAGATCACTTCCCCTCGGTGACCATTTCCTAATCTGTAAAATGGGGCTGAAAATAGAGCCCGGCAGAGGCTGCTGGGAGGATGTGAGGCATGACAGAGGAGGCACGGGGCTGCGGCCCCTGGGCGCTCGGGACATGCTCCCTGCTGTTCTCAGTCCTCAGGTGACTATTGCTATTTCCAGTTGCCGCCTCCCACTGGCGGAGGGGCGGAGGGGCGGGGGGAGAGGTCCCTAAAGTCCCCTGCAGCCAGACAGGCAGGGGAGATGACAAAAGACAGACAGAGCCAAAGGCCCCAATTCCCCATTCTTTTAATAAAAATAAAGACAGCCTTTCGATGCCCTTCTCCCAGGCATTGTTCTGCCAAGGAGAGCAGCACAGGCTCACTTCCTCCTTGGACCTGGAAAAGCCTTCCCTTCTCTCCCCTCCCCTGTCACATTTCCTTTATCTAAATCCTCAGCTATGAAAGGGCAGATCGACAACTGGGGGCGTTATCTGGTGGAGGGGACCTTTTCCTAGGGGTGCCTCCGAGATAAGGAGTCTTATCAGCCCCCGAGTCAGGGACGGTGCGAAGCATTCTAATCATTGAGGCTTTCGACATTTCCCCCCCGCCCCCGTTTTTATTATTAAAGTCACAAAAGACATTGTGCTTATAAACAGCCCGATTTGCAGAGAGGGTTTCAGAATGAGCAGTCCTCCCAGCAGGGCCTCTGGCTGGGCAGTAATGCGTCCGGGTGGGGCTCCGCGGGCTGGCTGGCTGCAGGTGGGATGCTGCTAAGCAGAGGGGGCAGGGTGGGATCAGGGGGAGGGGGGGTCATGAGTGTTTTCGGCGTCTGCCCCAGTTCTGTTCCCTGCTTGCTGTGTGACCTTGTGCAGGGCACTTGGCTTCTCTGGGCCTCAGGGCTTCATCTGACAGTAACCGATTCATTGGTTCAACCATTCATTCAACGCCTGTGTATTAAAGGTTACTCTTGGCCAAGCCCTGGGAAGAAAGAAACAAGTAAGACTTGGTCCTTGCCCCTGAGAAACTCAGAATCCAGTGGAGAGAGACAGACATGAACATTGGCAGTTACAACTCGGTGCGATCGGGGCTGAGGGAGGGCACCCAGAGAAAGGGAGGCAGCATGGGAGTTACAGCGGATCTATGGCAGTGCTGAGGCAGAGGGGCCTGCACAGGCAGCGGTTGGAGGTGTGAGGCAGCCAGGCTAGAGGGAGGTTTAGGAGGGATGAGAGGCAGCGTGTGGGGGCATGAGGGCCAGGCAGTGAGGGTCGGGCTCTATTCCGAGGCCAGAGAGAAGCGGTGAGGCTGAGGAGGGATCTGCATCTTGTATGTAGCTGATGGGTGGATAGAAACGACATGGCGGGCCCCTCGTGCATGGCGGGCCCCTGCCCAGCCACAGGGCAGGGAGGATGCGCAGGGAGGTGGGAACTGGGGTGCAGAGAATCCCTCCTCTCGGAGTGAACACCGAGTGTGGGCTGCAGCGCACTGCCTGCTGGGACTCCAGAAGTTAGGGGTGAATCCAGGCAGCTGCTCTGGAAAAGTTGAGCTGAGGCCTCCAGGGGAGTCCTCTGTGGCCACACGTTGGGGCAGGTGACCTCTCGGCTCCCAGATCTGCCTGGGCTTCCGCCATCAGAGCCCTCCCTGCTGACTACTGTGGTCCCAGCCTGGCTCTCACCTGCAGAGCATGCTGGGATGCATGGCCCCTGGGACCTGTGAGGTGGGGCCGGGAAGGGCTGGGCTTCTGTTATAAGAGACGGCAGCACTTTCCTGGGCCACACAGTGGACACGGGCTGGGGAGGCTCCGGCTTCCAGCCAGGTTTCTTGGGCACACAAGTCGCTGGCCGCCCTCTTCTCCGGCCCAGGCCTGCCCGGGCTGCCGGCAGCAGAGGAGCCCAGGGTGAGAGGGCAGCTCGCCCAGCCACTGCTTGTGGGTGGCCCTGGGCAGGGTGCTGCTGCTTTCTGGCTGGGGTTTCCCTCTCTGTGGAGGGCGAGGCTTGGGCCCTGCAGCCAGCTGGCCTTCTCCGACCTCCCGTCTGTCCCCCAGCCCCTACATCAGGGTGGCAAGACATGGACACTGCACTGGCTGGAGTGGGGAGAGGCCGGGCTGTGTGCGGGGTAGCCACAGGCCTCTCACCCCCCAGGTGTGCACGCGACTGTGTGTCCGTGGACTGCGTGTGTGTGCATGAGGGTGCCAGAGGGCACGGAGGGCTTGTCACGTGGTGTGGGTGAGGGCGGGACAGAGGTGTGCCTGTCTGCAAGAAGACGTAGCAGTGAGTGCGATGAGGGAGGTGCATGTGGAGGCGTGTCCGGCTGTCCCTGAGGTCTGAGCCGGGCGAGTGTGCCCGTGTGTGCAGGTGTGTCCTAAAGGGCCCCATCGAGGCCCGCGCCCACCGCCGCTCACGGCCCCAGTCCCCAAGGAGCCGCCTCGTTCTGCAGTGAAGGGCTTTCATCTCTGCGAGAAGCCCACTCCTTTCCCTTTTAAACTGTATGACTCCTGCCTGATTGTAATGGCATATTTTACAATCACCAGAAATCAAAGCGGGAAGTGGGTGCTGCAGCTCTTACTGCGTCGCCGCGTTAAAGCTGGCGAGGCGGGGGAGAGGATGAGCGCCGCCTACCCTCCCCCATCCATCCCCTACTCTCTCTCTCTCTCTCTCTCTCTCTCTCTCCCCCCCGGCTGGTGTGACTCCGGCTGGAGCGTTGTCCCACACACAAAAAGGTGACAGGTTCGATTCCCGGTCAGTGCACATATCCAGGTTTCAGGTTCGATCCCCAGGCAGACACGTGAGGGAGGCAACCAATTGATGTTTCTCTCTCTCTCTCCCCCCCCCCTCTTTTTTTTAGACAGTAATAGGAGAAAATTGGTTTTGAAACTGAATAAAAGTCCCTTTCAGTGTAAATCATTTCTTTCAGGGCACCTTTGCTGAAAGTAAAATAGAGCGTAATGAAAGGTGGTTAGTGATTGTCTTTCATTTACCGGGAGGCCGGACAGGCGGGCTGCGGCGTCCCGGGAAGTGCGGGTTGGAATAATTGCGCGGTAACAAGGAGCTTGTTGTGAAATTAGTATCTTAAGAAAGCAGTGAAAGAGGCTTTTCCTCATGAATACTTCATTATTAGAAGAAAGCGGCAGAATTTTGGGCTCCAGACACCTGTTTAGTATTAAGTAACTTCCTTTTCTTCCCCTTAAATACCCCCCCACACACACTCTCTCTTTCTTTTCTGTTTAAAAACCAGCATGAGGATTGAGTTGGCCCAGCTTGGCTGCTTGAGACTCAGGTCGTGTGTGTGTGTGCGCGTGTGTGTGTGTGTGTGCGCGCGTGTGTGTGTGTGTGTGTGTGTAGGGGGCGGGGATTAGGAGCTGGTGGGGACAGGGTGCCAGGGCTGGTGGGACACTGGGGTGCCCAGGGCTCAGCTCACACTGGGAAGAGAGGAAGGGAGGGGCCTGGCAGGGAACCCCCACCCTTCCCCGTGGCCTCCCTGCCTGTGTCATCTCGCTCCTCAGCGACTCTGGGTTCTCAGGAAAGTGGATTTTGTGGAGAAAAGATGCGTGTTTCCATGTGAACGCTGGGCATCCGACTGGGTGAGCTGCGTCCTATGGAGGCCTCTGCCCGGCCTGCAGGCTGCCCTGGGGCCTCCCTCTCCGTTGGGGTAGGGAGCTGCTTGGGTGCCTGGGCTCAGGGTCCGGTCTGAGACTAAGGCCGGGCTCAGCACTCAGGGCTGGAGCCTCCCTCACTCTCCCAGGGACGCCGTCCTGGACATCTCCCGCGGGTGCGGTGAGAGCACCCCAGACCGGGCCGGCCACCTTCGGTCACCTAGAACCCCGTGTGCTCACTGGCAGCTCCCGGCACCCCGCCCTGCGGTTCCAAAGATGGCAGATGGGGTCTTTGCCCCTGGTGAGCTGCAGGGGGGTGCGCACAGCTCCGCCCACAGGTGGTTGGCCGGGAGCTGGAAGGACAGCCTGCGGAGGGAGGAGGGGAGCGAGGTGAGGACCCTGGAGGCGGTGACCGCGCTCTGAGCAGGGCCGGGGCAGGGCTGCCCGGTCAGCTCTGGCCCCTCGCTGGGGAGTCCATCCCTCAGGAGACCTGGCCCCTTCCTTCCTGCTGGGCCTCACCCTGTCTGTGTGAGGAGGAGGAGCGGGTCTGGTGTTCGGGGCAGGGAGGCTGCGGGCAGGACTCCAGCTGAGGAGGGTGGGAGCTGCGGGCATGGAGCAGCGTGTGACGCACCTCCCCTCCTTCTCACAGGGACCCTGCCACCGAGCGCACCGCACCGGCCCCAGCTCAGCCATGCTGGCCTGTCTGCAGAGGACCCAGAACCCCCCGGGCCAGCACCTGGCCTGCCCGAGCAAGAGCCTGGAGCGGCGCAAGTGTGAGTGGCACCCCCGCCCCTCCCCTCCCCTTCGTGCCCTGAGTCCACGGGGCTCTTTCTGTTCCCATCTCGGGCCTTTGCAGCAGCGGCTGGGCAGGGAGTGCCCCCACCCCAGCACGCCCACCCTCCCCGACCCTGTCTTGAACTCTCCGTGTTCTGCGAGGCCTTTGCCCGGGCTGTGCTGCCTCTCTGGGGTCCCTCCCTGCCGGTGGCACCTTTTGTCTGGCCACTTCCTAGCAGCCTTCGCTGACCACTACCCGCGCCGCGGCCCACCCCAGCCCCTCCTACGACGCTGCATGTGCCGTGTCTGTGTCGCCACCATCACACTCCTGCTTCGCAGGAACCGGGATAATGTGGAGCAGTTGTCCTGATGGGTCCCAGCCCCGGGCCTGCTCTCTGGACCTGCTCGCTGGGCCTCCGCACGTCCGTTCCCCCTCGGGGCCTTGCTTCTCAGTGTCGGGTCAGGGCTGGACTGGGAGCCTCCAGGCATCTGTCCTCCTTGACCACCTGGGCCAGGGATCCGCCCTCTGATCTGGTGATTTTGGCCGCCCTAGGCTGGGTGTTTTGTTTTCGTTTTGAAGTATTTGGAAACATTTAAAAACAGGGAGATTTGAATAAAAATATGGACTTCTAGTGTCTCCTGGGGAAAAAAAAAATCAGAGGATCCGGGGACAGAGGCCTGTGTTCCTGGACTCTTGGTTAGAACTGAACCGTTGCCTCTTAAAGGGGACACACCTCCAGTTCACAGTCCCTGCCCTCCCTGTCACCTCCCCACAGCACAGGCCCAGCTGCCATTTGTCATTGTGCTTACACCGCTGCTTTTTTCTTGTTTAATGTGTGTTTATCTTTAGACCATACGTTCTTGGGGTCCAATATTCAAAAGGGATGAAGGGGTGTACAGACAAAACCTCCCTTTCCCCACACCGCCCGCCTCCTGCCAAAGGCAGCCGTGCGGTCAGCTCTCGTGTGTCCCTCCAAGCGCTGTGCTGTGCGCGTCCCAGCAGACGTGTACGCACGTTGTACACGCTGACCTGCACCTCTCTCTTTCACTTAGCGACACAGCCTACATGTCAGCACTTAAAGAGCCTCCTCATCCTTTTGCCATAGAGTTTCCCATTGCAAGGATGGTCCCTAATTCGCCTGACCAGTCTCTTAAGTAGAACTGTACCCAGCCTGCTGCCCTTACCAACAGTGCAGCAGTAAAGAGTGGGGTGTGCGCCACAGGGTGTAAACTGCAGGGTAAATTTCTAGGAGCGGACACACCGGTCAGAGGTACGTGCACTTGTAACTTTGCCGTCTGTCTGATCTATTCGGTCCATTCTTCCCGTTAGGTTGTTGCTGTTGCTGTTGCTGTAGGCCTCTGTGTGTCACACGAATTGCAGGTGTTTTCCCCGATTTGTCATTTGCCTGTGATCCCACCATGGAGGGATTTTCTTTGTGGAGTGAAATTGGTCGTCATTTCCTTTTGCCTCCGTAGCCTTTGGATTTTGTGTCATATTTGAAATGTCCTTCCTCGTGCTGACATTGGGATTTTCTTTTTTTAAAGCAGCTCCCCCAGGTTTTTCTAGTTTTTTTTATGGTTTAATTCTTTAAATAGATGATATCTGATTGTTTTGTAATTTCTCTGGTGGAAAGTTCGAGATGTGGATCCAAAGTTAATCAGCATCGGTGCAATGCTATCTTAATTAGTGTAGCGTTATAATACATTTTACATTTTTTAGCATCTTTATTGGGGTGTAATTCACATACGACACAATCCACCCATTTGAAGGGAACACAGTGATGGCTTTTAGTATGTTCACAGAATTTTGCAACCTTCACCGCAGTCCATTGTAGAGCATTTTGTCACTTCAAGAAGAAACCCGTCTTAACCATGAGCAGTCACTCCCTGACCCGCCCGCCTTCCTTCTCTATAGACCTCCTCTTCTGGGCTTTCATACATTATGTGTATGAAAGGAGGGAATCACACATTATGTGGCCTTTTGTGACTCACTTCTTTCATTTAGCAAAACGTTTGCGAGGTTCAGCCATGTTGTAGCTGGAGCGTAACACACTTTAACACTTGCTGATGCGAGCTATTCCTCTATTCACCATCCTCCCACGCGGAATTTCCTGGGCTGTTCTCTTTATTTCCCTGTCTGAACTATGGAATCAATTTATCTAGGTAAGAACAAAAATCCTGTTTGTGTTTTTACTGGGATTGCATTAAATTTATAAATTCGTGTAGGAAGAAATGGCATTGTTAGAATGATGTCTTCCCCTCCAAGAACATGATCTATACCTTCTTGTGCATTCTAACTTCCTTGTGCGTCCCTTGAGAATGTTTTAATATTTGCTTCGTGTAGATCTTACACACATTATTTCAGTTTATTTCTGGATAGGTAACCTTTTTTGTCAAGTCTTTCCTTTCATAAATGGAGGTTATTTATAGAAAGGCTGTTGACTCCTGCCACCTTACTGAAATCTTTTGTTTGTAATGGGTTTTTAATTTAGTCTCAGGTTTTCCAGTTATATCATTTGCAAATGATAATTTTACTTCCTACTTTGGAAGTTTTATACCTTAATTTCTTTGTCTTATATAATAGGGTTGGCTACTATCCCTGGAACAATGAAAAATAGTAATGGTCATAATAAACATTCTTGCTTTGTCCCATTTCTCATTAAAAAATGAGACGCTCCTAAGATTTCTCCATTAGCAAAATGCTGGATTGGGGTAGATATCATGTTAAATGTGTGTCCATCTATTCTTGTTTTATTAAGAATTTTAAAAATCAAGAATGCAAGTTGAAGTTTACCAAATCTATGAAGATGATCACATGGGTATTTCCTTTGATCGATTAATATGTATAATGATATAGATTTCTTAATATTGAGCCATCCTTGCATTCCTAGTTGAATCCCACTTGGTTATGGTGAATATTTCTTTTTAATATACTACGCAGGGATTGGATTAGCTCCTTTACTTAGGAGTTTTGCCTCAGTTTCATCAATGAGAGTAGGCTTTAGTTGGAACGGTTTTGTTGGGTTTTGCTGTCAGTGTTATGTCTTTCATAAAGAGAATGAAGGCTTTCCTTCTCTATGCTTTGTAACAGTTCAACTGGAAATGGATTATCTGTTCTTGAAAGATTGGCTGCTCTTCCATTAAACAGTCTTGGGCCCTAACCGGTTTGGCTCAGTGGATAGAGCGTCGGCTTGCGGACTCAAGGGTCCCAGGTTCGATTCCGGTCAAGGGCATGTACCTTGGTTGCGGGCACATCCCCAGTTAGGGGGTGTGCAGGAGGCAGCTGATCGATGTTTCTCTCTCATCGATGTTTCTAACTCTCTATCCCTCTCCCTTCCTCCCTCTAAAAACTCAATAAAATATATTAAAAAAAAAAACAGTCTTGGCTAGTGCATTTATTTTGAGTAGGTGGATAGCTCTTTGATAATGTTCTCTGGTTCTTCTGTAATAATTTATGTTTTAATTGTTCTGCTTATTGAATGAGTTTGATAAATTATATTCCTCTAGAAAAGTATTCGTTTTATCCAGGTTTTCAAATTTATTTGCATGAAGCTGAACAAAACAATTTATAATTCCTTTAAAATGATTAACTCACCCTTATTTCTTAAATTGTGTATTTTGTGCCCCTTTTTTCTTTTCTTTTTTCCTGATTAGGTTAGTTAGCTAATGAGGTTATTTGCCTCCTTGTCCCAAAGAGCCATATTTAGGATTTATTAGTAATCACCCCTTTCTGGTTTCCAATGCATTAATTTATGCCTTTATCTTTATTAAAATCTTCCTACTTTCCTTGTTTTTTTATTTCAAAGCTTAAATCTTTATACTGATAAACAAGAAAAAATTAAGGCTTTGAATGCTCTGAACACTGCTTTAGCTATATCCTATAGGTTCTAATGTGTAGTATTTTCCCTAGATATTTTATCATTTGGATTTGATTTCTTCTTTGACCTAAGGCTCAGTTGAGTTTCATTTCTCCACCCAGCTAGTAGGTGCTTTTGTGTTTTGTTTTTTCTAGTTTTACTGCATTACTAGGGACCCAGTGCACAAAAATTCATGCACTCAGGGGGTCCCTCAGCCCGGCCGGTGCCCTCTCGCAGTCCGGGACCCCTCGGAGGATGTCCACATGCTGGCTTAGGCCCGCTCCCCAGGGGATCAGGCCTAAGCTGGCAGTAAGACATCCCTTTGACAGCTCAGGAGCCCTCAGGGGATGTCCACCTGCCAGCTTAGGCCTGCTCTCCGAGGAGAGCCGCAGTCAGACATCCTTAGCGCTGCCAAGGAGGCAGGAGAGGCTCCCGCCACCGCTGCACTCGCAGCTGTCAGCCCGACTTGTGGCTGAGCGGAGCTCCCTCTGTGGGGGCGCACTGACCACCAGGGGGCAGCTCCTGCGTTGAGTGTCTGCCCCCTGGTGGTCAGTGCGCGTCATAGAAACCGGTCATTTCTGGTTGTTCTGCCATTAGGGTCAATTCGCATATTACCCTTTTATTATATAGGACTAGAGGCCTGGTGCACGAAATTTGTGCACGAGTATGGTCCCTAGGCCTGGCCTGCGATCAGGGCCATCTTCCCCAGCTGCCCGCAGTCAGCCCCGCCCCCCGCTGCCACCCACCCCCAGTTCCCCATTCACCATCAGGTGATTGGTGCCTGACGGCCGGGGGAAGAGACTAAGAGGTGGTCAGTGCGCCTCATAGTGACTGATCCAGCGGTCGTTCTGCCGTTAGGATCAATTTGCATATTACCCTTTTATTATATAGGATAGAGGCCTGGTGCATGGGTGGGGGCCAGCTGACCTGCCCTGAAGGGGGCCCCTGATTGGGTGGGGGGGTCCCCGCTAGGGGGCAGGGCCAGCCTGGGCGAGGGGCCGTGGGGTTTGCAGGCCAGCCCTGCCCCTGATCAGGGTGGGGGGGGTCCCCGCTGGGGGCAGGGCTGGCCTGGGCAAGGGGCCGCAGGTGGTTTGCAGGCTGGCCACACCCCTGATCGGGGTGGGGGTCCCTGCTGGGGGGCGGGGCTGGCCTGGATGAGGGGCTGTCAGCAGTTTGCAGGCTGGCCACCTCCACCACCCGGCTTTGTCAGGAAGGACGTCTGGTCTAATTAGCATATTACCCTTTTATTAGTATAGATGATCAAAGTTTTCTTTTCGATATACTCTATGGTCATTTTTTGTGAGTTTTGACACTTTATGGGGAAAAGAAGATGTGGCTCTGTTTTCAGGATTCAGAGTCTGGTGTGTACCAATTATATCAACCCCATTACTTATGTTAGTTAGGTCTTCTATACCCTTAGCTACCTGTCACGGAGAGAAATGAATTAGATGCCCACTGCTAATGTGTTCCAGTCTATTTCTTCTTGTGGCACCTACAGCTTCGGCCTGATGAATGGTGATGCAGTGTTATTTAACACACGGATATTAATACCTTAAATCTAATAGTGACTTGCATCTTTCTTTACTATATTTAATACCGTGGGGGCAGATTCAATTTCATCTGTTCAGATAGTAACCTCTGCTCTTTTAATTCACATTTTTCTTGAAACCTTGGCCAGTCCTTTTATTTGAACCTTTCTGAATTACTTTGCTTAGGTGTGACTCATATACTATAGAGCTGGATTAAGCTTTGTGATTCAATCTGAAAGCCTTTAAAAATTTTTTGAGAGCTTAGCCCATTTACATTTATTGATATGACAGATGTCTCACCGTAGTTCATTTTGTGCTTTGCTGTAATTGCTTTCAAAAGTCTTTCCTAAGTGATCTGTTCTCTGCTTTATTCTGCACCCACCAATCATGAGGGAGGTTGGTGTTTTTGTCTAGCGGTGCAACTTTAAATAATACCCTGACTTTCTATTTCTTTGGAACCGTATCTATTATTTTCCCTAAGATGAAAAAAATGTTGACATTAGTGTGCAGTCGATGCTTGAACAACACAGGTTTGAGGTACATCAGTCCACTTATATGTGGATTTTTAAAAATAAATACGTACAGTACCGTAAATGTATTTTCTCATCCTTATGATTTTCTTAGTAACACTTTCTTTTCTGTGGCTTGCTTGATTGTAAGAAGACAGTATGTAATACATATAACAGACAAAATCTATATTAAACTGTTTACATTATCGGTAAGGCTTCTGGTCAACAGCAGGCTATTGATAGTTAGGTTTTGGGGGAGTCAAAAGTTTTATGTGGATTTTTGACTGTGCATGGGGGTCGGCACCCCTCACTCCTGTGTTGTTCAAGGGTCAACTGTTTTCTTTTTCCTTCTTCATTTCCGTGGAGTTCACTTTCACCCTCTATTACCTGACGTCGGCTTTAAATGATGGCCCCTGACCCCGGCTGTTCACGAGGAGGCACCTGTGTGCTTACACTCCTGTCCCTTCTGTCGTGAGGGATGCCATCACCCGTTCCTGGGGCTCGTAATGTTAGCATCTGGGTACAGCGCCACAGCGTTCAGCCTGCCTCCCGGGTAAGCAGGGTCCGTACTCACCAGCAGTTCTTCTGCCTCAGTCTCCCGTCATCCGGAAGGTGGCCTCCAGGCTGTGGCCTAAGGCCTCGCGCACAGACTCCTGGAGTCCCCAGCGTTCGGACGGTCCGTCGGCCGGCTCTCTGCTCCAGCGAGTAAAGCCACCGGGCACTCTGTCTCCTTGAGGATTTCTGTAGACCTTGCTCTGCTCTCGCGGGAATGTTGCCATGGAGAAGCTGAGGCCTGACTTTCCTCTTTGAATTTCATTGTGGTCCTGCCCCTCTTTCTTGCCGTTCCTGCCCCGGCATGTGTCCGGGATGGACTGCGCGTCTCAGTTCCCGGAGCTCAGGCCCGCGCCCTTTCCGCAGACAGATCCGAGGCTTGCACTGCCGCCGCCGCCTCCTTCGGGGCCCAGTTAACACAGGTTGGCTGTCTCTTCGCCCGGCTCCCCGATGTTTGCTCACTTTCCTCCCTCGCCCTCGTCCCGTGTCCCCTTTGGCTTTCACAATGAGACTTTTCTTCTGCTCTTGTAGATCTGCTGTGTTTTTGCTTCATAGAAACAGTTGTCACCACATTTCCCTTCACAGTGCAATAGTTAGCCATAGTCTTTCTCTCTTCTGGTGGGAAGTGTTTTGCCAGCCATTGCTTTTCTTACCTGCCGCCTTTCCTCGCTTCTCTTACATGTTCCGACCGGGTGCTGTGCTGGTGCCGCTCCGATGAGCTGCTCTGGGGGAGGTGGGGCCCCCAGCCCAGCGCCCCCCTCGCTGCCACAGAGACAGGCAGGTCCCGCACGTCCGTGACTGTGGTCTCTTGGCCTCTCCTTTGCTCTTCGGAACCCGTGGGGCAGCTCTGCCAGCTGGCGCACCTTGGGAAGTGAGGGCTGCTGGCTCTGAAGCCGCTGGCCGTGGCACCTTCCCTCTGCTCCCTCCCTTAGCCCCACTGATCTCACCTGGGCATCCTGCCCTCTACTGTTGGTTTGTTTGTTCGTTCAGGGGGTTAGCTGGCTCCTGGGTTTGCCAATATTGGAATTGGTGTTTGTATTCCATGTTGCTGTCAGGGTATCCCCAGGAAGAGAGGGGGTGCCCTCTGGGTGTTCTTTCCGGAATAGGGGTTTAGAGAACTGTCTGCCTGCCTCATCCAACAGACCAATGACCGGTCACCTGGGAGGGCCTTCCTTTCCAGAAAATGTGTTCTCCACGCACGTCCCCCTTCACTCCTTTGTGACCTCCAGGGGGAGCAGCTCCCTGTCGTTTATACAGTCAGTCCTTCACTGCCCCGGTTGTCCACGGCACCCCATTCAGACCATAAGCATTTATAGTAAACATGGCTCTCCTGCCAGAGCAAACCGGTGTCGGCAGCTTCTCGGACGCCCTCCTGAAGCCCTGGCTGGAGGTGCCGTGGTTGGAGCACCATCCCCTCCACCAAAAGGTTGTGGGTTCGATTCCTAGTCAGGGCGAGTATGTTTCTCTCTCACAGTGATGTCTGTCTCTTTCTCTAAAAATCATATCCTCTAAAACATATCCTTGGGTGAGGATTTAAAGAAAAAATACCCTCCTGAAAAATATGCATGTTGAGGGGCAATAAATACTTTTTACATAAACATTCTCACCCCTGTGCTCTCAGCTCCTGGCTGTTTTCCTTACCAATACTGGTATATCTTCCAGATGTTCCCCATCTGACAGGACGCGCCCTCATCCTTCCAACAGCTGCACAAGCAGCGGACACCTAGGTTGCTCCTAGTCCCTCGCTGTTCTGAACGGTGTTGTCACGAACATCTTTGTGTGTGTGTCTGTGCAAAACAATGATCCCAGAATGCACTCGCTAGCTCACAGGGACTGTGCACTTTGACCTTTGATTGCTACTGTCCCGCTGCCCTCTGCTGGAGGCAGGGACGGGCATGATGACCTGGCGGCCTTCCTGCCCAAGGCCAGAACAAGGGAGGCCAGCCAGCGCGCCCAGCTCCCCTGCCATCTTTGCACTTGCTGGCAGACACTGACTCAGCCTGTAATTGAGCGCACAGGGAAGAGGGAGGCAGGAAGGGAGATAAGCAAATTGAATTGGGCGCCCTGCCGCCAGCCAGGCCTGCACAGCTGGCAGGGAGGTTCCTGCCCTTCCTCCTGGGCATTACTCTTGGCAGTCAGGCCCCAAGTTTCAGGACTAGGCCACGTGCAGCCTGACCTTGGCCAAGTGGGTCAGCCTGTTAGGGCCTGGGTTCCTCCTGCTGTAAAGTCAAGGGCCAGACCAGCTGGACCTCAGGAGCCGTCCAGCTCTGCCCATCTGTGATGACAATGTCAGGAGCCCAGGGAGGGGAGGACGTGGCCCCGCCTGAGGCCCGCCTGCCACCTCTTCCTGTAAAATGGGATCAGAGCAGCCTGACTACTCCAGGCTGCACGGGCCTGGCCACCACATAGCCCTGACATGACAGCACACCAGGAAGGCTGCAGCTCACCTCCAGGACCGGAGGTCAGGCGGCAGCGGAGCGGCAGGGCCTGGACGGCTCTGTGGCCAGGAGTGTGGGTGGCCGGCTGGCAGTCGTCGCCTGTTTCAGGTGGTGGGAGAAAGTGACCTGGGAAAGAAGGAGAAATGATGTCGGGGAGGGAAGGCTTGACTCCCAGCTGCCGGCGTCCCTGGGTTCCACACAGGACCTGCCTGCCCCGGACAGCTGCTCAGGACCCACTGATACATACCTGCCTTTCTCATCGTGGTGTTGACCCGTAAACTTTGAGTCACGCCATGTGCTGCCAAAAGCGCAGGCTGTGCAGGGAGCTTGAGGGGCATGTGGGGAGGGTGGTACTCGGGGACCTGCCATCCAAGCAGGGGAGCTGAGGCCACGACCCAGGACACCCTGCCACACCTCATAAGCCACGCGGCCTCTCTGCACCGCAGGCTGCTCCCCTGTGGGTGAGGGTAGGGTGCCCACTCTGCCCCCTCCCCCATGACCCGCAGGGCACAGCCTTTGAGATCACAGTGGTCGGGGTCAAATTCTGGCTGTGCCCTGCTTGGGTCGTGGGCATGGTCTCAGGCAGGTGAGTAACTGGCCATCTCAGGGCCTGGTAGCCGACTCAAACCCTTTGCCCCCCCCCGCCCTGCCATCCAAGCAGGGGAGCTGAGGCCACGACCCAGGACACCCTGCCACACCTCATAAGCCACGCGGCCTCTCTGCACCGCAGGCTGCTCCCCTGTGGGTGAGGGTAGGGTGCCCACTCTGCCCCCTCCCCCATGACCCGCAGGGCACAGCCTTTGAGATCACAGTGGTCGGGGTCAAATTCTGGCTGTGCCCTGCTTGGGTCGTGGGCATGGTCTCAGGCAGGTGAGTAACTGGCCATCTCAGGGCCTGGTAGCCGACTCAAACCCTTTGCCCCACCCCGCCCGCCCAGACGGTGGGAGCCCCCTCCCCACACCCGTACCCACAAGCGGACAAGAGCTTCCCACCCCTCTCCCCAGGCAGCTTCTAAGGGCTCGCCAGCCCCAGCTCAGGGAGCGCTCTCCTCCCCCCCACTGCCAGGCTTCACCCGCCCTCCACAGCGACCCTGACCCTGTCCTTGACCCTGACAGGCTGCAGCCGCTGCCCCATGAGTGAGCATTCCTGCAGGTGCAGCTGCTTCCACTCACACTAATAAAATACGGAAGAAACAAAGCAATTTACAATCCCAATAACATTAAAAACAAACCTCTGGCCAGGCAGCAGATGCAATTATGCAGCCTGGGGGTGGAGGGCAGGCCCGGCCCCCTGCCATGGGGACGCCGGGAGAGGACAGGGGAGAGGACAGAGGTCGGAAACGCAGGGCAGGGCCGATGGCGTCAGCCCCCTCTCCCCACTAACAAATACAAATGAGCTCTTAGCAAACTAGGAAGGCAGGCAGCTCCTTTATCTGGCACAGTGTCCGACCACAGGCCGCCGAGGGGTGACCTCAGAGGACGACAGAGACCCAGTCCCTGCCTCCACACTGCAGAGTCCGGGCCGGCTCAGTAAGACAGGGGACCAGGGTTAGCAAGAAGTAAAACCAGCTGCACAGAAACCCCAAGAGAACAAGAATTCAGCAAGATCGTAAAGATAAGATCAACGTACGAACTAAACTGTCCTCCTCGACAGCAGCAGTTGGCCAACGTTCCCTGTAAAGATCCAGGGTCTCACTGTAACCACGCAGCCGGGCGCTGCAGCATGAAAGCTGTCCCAGCCCCGGGGACAGGAAGAGGCGTGGCTGTGTTCCAATAAAACTTTATTTACAAAAGCAGGCAGCAGGCCAGAGTTGCACGCTCCTGCTCGACACCTGTAACAAAGAAGTGGAACAAATCTTACACAAAGATGCTAGTGCAGTTTTTTGGAAACAGCGTTATGTGTATGGCATCACGTGCCATACCATTCACCCATTCACAGTGGCCTTTCGTCTGGCTTTTCCCCTTAGTGTCATGTTTTCAAGGCTCATCCATGTTGAATGTACATATGTATGTTCGTGCACATATCGGCACTTCACTTCTTGTTATTGCCAACTAGTCCCCCATTGTATGGATGTGCGATGTTTTATTACCCATTTATCAGCTGATGGGTATTTAGGTTGTTTCCACATTTGGGGCAGTTATGACTAATGCTGCTGTGAACATCCAGGAACAAGTGTCTGTGTGGACGAATGCTTTCATTCTCTTGCGCCTGCTCCTAGGAGTGGGATTGCTGGGTCACATGGGAAGTCTATGCTGGATTTGGGGGGAACCGCCAAACTGGTTTCCAAGGCAGCTGCCCCATGTGACATTCCCACCAGCAATTACGAGGGTTCCAGTTTCTCCGCATCTGCACCAAAACGGACCTGTATTTTTTACTCCGGCCGCCCCAGTGGGTGCGCGGTGGCATCTCACTGTGGTTTTCATTTCTAATAGTGAAGGAGAATACTTAGCACCTTCGTATATCTTTTTGAAGAAATGTCCTTTTGGACATTTAAAAATATTTTTTAATATTTTTGGACCACAGTTGACTGCAGGTAACTAAAACCACAGAAAGCAAAACTGCCGATGAGGGGCCAGGGCGGGGAGAGCTGCGCCCTGGCGTGCTTTGAAGAAGCGACGGCGAGTCATCCTCAGGTGGGAAGGCTCGGCACACAGAGGGGAACACACCCATAGAGGAAGAGACAAGTTCGACCACATCAAACACTGCGGCCCAGCAAAATGTACATACAACAGTGAAGAGGAGCCAGCATTTGAGAGGGTGTCGGCAGTCCTTTATAATGGACAGTAGCCAGAATAGAGCGCCCAGTGTGGCTGCAGAAAGATGCAGGTGGGAGGGGCAGGGAGCCGGTGGGGTGGGGCCGGAGGAGCGCGGGAGACTCAGTGGGAGGGCGGGTAGGTGAGCCGACCAGCATGGCGTGGGTGAAGACAGGAGTAGGTATGAAGGAGGGAGAGATGAGGCAGCAGGGCCGAAGGCAAAGAGCCGCCAGGAAGACGGACGGGCAGCTCTGCAGCGGCGAGCAGGGACAGACACTGGGGCTGGGTACAGGGAGAGGCTGAGGACACGGCTCGCAGAGTCATCTCCCGGTCAGGGAGCAGGTGAGAGACACTGAGGCACGAGTGAGGGGCAGGGAAATGGGCTGGGGGGGGACTGCCTCCAGGGACACAGTGGCCACCCCAGAGCTCCAGCCGGGGGTGTGGGTACCCGTGTGTGCCTGGGAGCAGCTGCTGGTGTTTACGTACAGGAGCGTGTGTGAGAGGGAGGGCTTCCACACACGTGTGCGCACACACGGAGACTAGAGGCTCCTCTGCTGTGCCCAGTGACAGCGATCGCCCGGCACTGCCTCGTCGGGCCAGACAGAGCCGGCCTTCCCCACGCACCCATTCTGCACCCAGCCCTCCGACAGGCGTCCTCTCGTTTCTCACCACTCTGCCCCTCAGGGGAAGCGGAGGCCAGGGAGCTGGGTCACTTCCGGAGGCCCCCCAGCTGGTAACGGGCACCTGGATTCACACCTGACTCTGAAACCAAAGACCCTCGGGCTGCCCCCAGGCCAGTGGGCTGGGGCTGGGGCAGATAAGTGGTTGGCAGCCACCCTGCCCCTTGTCCTGCCCAGGAGGCCAGAGGGCAGCTGCACCTGCCCTGGCCCAGCACCTGGCCCCGCCCCTCCTGGGCGGCCTCATTAGGGATTCTCCGGGCGCCACAGCTAATTAATGTCCGGTTAACTGAGCGTTCAGGAGGGGCCACCGCCCAGGGCAGAGCGTCAGCTGCCAGGGGAATGCAGCCGAGGCTGCTCCTCCCTGTGGGCGGGGCCAGGCCCTGTGCCCAGGGGCCCCCTCAGTCCTGGAGCAGCCCTGGGTACCCCTCCCACCTCAGCACAGGTCACACCCACTGTGACTTCCTGCGCCTTCAAGGAGGAGGCCATAGGGAAAGCTGCGGCAGCAGGACAATGGCATCTGCTGAGCACCCACTTCCAATTCCCCACCGTCCTGTGGGGGCTGCGGTTAACACTTCCAGTCCAAACTGCGTCGCTGAAGGAACAGCCTCTCCGGGGTGTGCCCAGCGGGTCGGGAGGGGCCGGGGGTGTGCCCAGCGGGTCAGGAGGGACGGGGTGTGCCCAGCGGGTCAGGAGGCCCCGAGTTCAGCACAGTACCTGAGGGATGAGGTCCATCCACAGCTGATGCCTGGTTCCCACAGAGAACCCTGTGTGGGGACCAGGAATTCTGGGCTGGCGTCGGGCCCCGGCCCCACCCACCACTGTCCCACCGTCCTGTCCCCACCTCCACCTGCCCCTGATGAGCAGGTGCCACGGGCCTCCCAGTGCAGAGAGCACACCCTCTACCCTTGCACATGGGAGGTAGCGTCCCGGTCCTCAGCTGCCAGGTCACCCGCAGCACGTGGTCATGCTGGGCGTAGGGCTCCAGCCTGGGTCCCAGC